TGAGAAAGGCCACAAAACCTCTTCAGCTCGAGATAGCTATGTCACCCCCCAACCTGACATCGACGCATCTGTGAAGACTGACACGTGTGACGTAAGTCTGCTGACGGGGACTCCCTCTGACAGAACCAGGGGGTTTCCCAGTGTCGGAGATCTGTTCTCATAGAGGAAGGAACAGTGATCGTCCGTCTCTTTTGCCTCACCAGATCCATGCGCAGACGAGCAAACCATCTCTGGAGGTGTCTCAGAATTAGCAGGTGTGACATCAACACTTGAGCCTGTGCCGACATGTGAAGTGGTCTGCCCACGATCGCCTTGTTGAAAAACTGACAGGTCCAAATTGGTCTCGTTCCTCAGGTCCGTTTGGGAACCAGGAAGTAACGTGAGTAAAAAAAAAACTGTTTTCCTCTCCGTCGGGAACCCCTGGACTTCTGCCTTTAGGTTTGAGACCTGGTCTAGTGATGACAGGACCGTCTCTAAAAACTCCTCCAAACGGAGGGGGTCGGGCTGCAAGTTGCAACGTGTAACCCCTGCTATCAGCTTGGCCATCCATATGTCTGGCAAGCAAGCTTGCAGCCACTCCGCGTAACGTTCGTGGAGTGGGCGCGCGTTTAGGTGTTGCGTAATATTTTTATGGACGTCAGCCAGTCTACCCCTCCAATTGTCGTCATGCGCCGCGGGAGTGTGTTCCGCGTGACACAAGGCGAGGCTTCCTCGAAAGGGCTCTGAGCGCGCCTCTGTGCCGCGCTTGGGCTTCGGGTTCACATTCATGTTCGAGGTTCATCACCGGGCTCGTCCTGCGACCTCACATTCATGCTGACGTGAGCAGGCGAGCGCTGAGAAGCGGTGAGCGCGCCTTCATCAACGCCGTGCTGTTTGAGTGAAGGCTGCACGTGCCGCAGAAGCACGCGTTTGCTTCAGTGAGGCGCTTGCTGAGAGCGAGGTCTCTCACCGGACCCGTCGTGCGGTCTCACATTTATGCTGATGCGAGCCGGTGAACGCTGGGGAGCTGTGTGTGCGCCTTCATCAACGCAGCGCCGTTTGGATGAAGGCTGCTCACGTCGCGGGAGTGCGCGTTTGACACCGCTTCGATGAGGAGTGTGCAGCTCGGGCTGAAAACGAGTTATTCCACTGAACTCGTTGTGCGGACCACATTCCCTTACGACTGTTGTGTCATGCGAGCGTCTCGCCTTGTTTTGGAGCAATGGTGATTTTGAAAAACCTTTTTTAAAGGCCACCAGCTCATTTCGTGTGGAGGATGTGTGAAGGAGCCAATGTCATGTCATCCGAGCTGACAGACTGGCTTAAAATAGACACTTTCATCATTAAATTGTGTTTTATTCCAAAAGCTTGTGTCATCTTCACACACATCCTCCACAAACCGTCATTTTGAGTCATCTCCTCCTGAGCTCTGAGGTTTGTTGTCCTAGGGCGCCGCCTGTTGGCGATCCCAGGGAAACGTTGAACCTCCGGATGCCGGGGATGTCTGACGGGTGGCTGGCGTAGCGGAATGGGGAGACGCTGTGCAGCCGTGGAACGTCTTGAAAATGGTCCCTAGTTGATGGGGGCCCTCCAACAAAAAAACTTTCTGCAGCTCCTCCAAGAGGAAGGTGGAGTGACGGGCCAGGTGGACCTCTAGAAAAACCTCGTCCTCCGGCTGCGATGCAAGACCAGCAGACAACAAAGAGGCGCACAGGTTGAGGATGACGTCAGCTGCCTTGCAGAGGGAGCGTTACGTCTCCTCCAGCCTCTTGAACGTTGTATGCCAGCAGCGTAACGTATTGTTCGCTGCGGCCACCTGGAACGCACACTGATGAGCTCGGTTGGAGAGCGACGTCACCGTCTGGTTATGCTTACCCGGAGGCGCAGGACGCTGGTCCAACCTGGACATCTTTGCTCAGAAAGCCTCCGCCAGGCTCGGCTCCAGGGGAGCACCGAGGGAATTTCCGCTCGGTGAAACCCCTCCACTCTGATGATGGGCGCGAATGTGGGAACCGGCGCCCATATTCTACCAGGAACAGGCTGCGGCCTCGTCCCAGTAGGACGTCACTGCTGGGAAACGAGGCCAGATGGGATCAGGACGGCGAGCCAGAATGGAGCCCAGAAACCTTCCCGCTAGATCATCCGGTCTGGGCGGGGGAAGGAGAGGGACGGAAAAAGTCCCTTCATGTCAGCCACCTCCTGGATTATGCCGGGCAGCTCCAGAGGAGGGCACCGACGGCTGTGAGCGGTGTGGTCACCGATGCGAAACAAGGTCCGGGGGGGGGGGGGGGGTGAGCATTCGCTCAGTCCCCCTCTTACCGACACTACGCTCTCCAGGAGGGAATGAGCAGCGGGGGCTGCTGCTGACGTCGCCTGTCCTGGAGGAACCATCCAATTCGCTCTGAGAGTCGGCGATAAAAGGAAAATTACAAGATGACGTCGTCCAGCGTGTAGCGACCTGCCACTGAGAAGACTCCTTGGTGCTTACCTTGAAACAAGACTGCTCGTCTGCTGCTCCTCGGGGAGGAGAACTCCCTGGGACGACAGGAGGTTGACGTGGCGGGGCCACAGGCAGTCTTAACAAGGTTGGTCAAGCTAGACAACTTTCCTTCTTCGTTTTTCTGACAGTGCTATTAGCTTGTTGAAGAAAAATGGGAGCCGATTACCCTCTCAACGTAATTTATACAGACCGGGTGGGGCCCACACAGCAGGTGGGCGTGGACTAAATTTTTCAGTGCAATGCTTCGCATGACGGGATAAACCCACTAAGCGACAGCTCTTAAAGGGCGAAGCCTATACGAAATAGAACTTAACCTAATATGAAATATACAGAATTCAGTCTTAACTGTATTGATTCATATTTTCATGTTTAGTAAATCTTTAACAAAATTTCAAAACCTGTGCGAGTTTGCACAAAAACATCTTCTGAACTGTAATTTATAAACCATAAATTGTATCATTTAGAACTGGCTCCAGTTGATGTGTCTCATCTGGTCTCTTCAACCTGTTAAAAAGACAAATTACTTAAAGTTGGTTGAACAACTTGTCTATAAGTTTTAGTTTAATATGAGAAAAAACAATTACCTTTGAGCTGCAGCTGCATCAGAGGTTCTCCCATCCGTTGTGTCATGGTGAAGTTGTGGTGCTGCTTTATCGCAAAAAAAAAAAAACTATGTGAAGGAATAACGTACATTGAAACCAGCGTATTAAAAATAAACCTAAACCCCTCACCTTTCACTGAGCTGTCTGATCATAAATCCTTTGTGATATAGCCGGAGATGGAGAGGGAAATCTTCACAGCCTTTGGGGAAGCCTGGAAGTTTGTTGCAGTGTTCACTCATCGGCTGTTTCGCTTTCATCTTCCGTGAATTTTGTCTTATTTCCAAAATACTCTACCGCAATTTTATTTTACGCTTCTTGTAAACTACTGTGCTCTTGTGAAGCTCTGTCTTCCCCTGGAACATTGTAGGATCTGAAATGATTTTTAAAGATGAAGCACCGGGTTGAATCGCGCTGTCCCCCTCCTCCATGCTAGCAGGCTCCATTCAGATACAGGGAGCTGGCTAACTAGCTTGCTGTATGGTGGCCTACATGGCTCAATTCTACAGTGGCTGAATGGGGAGTAGGAGCGGAAACAATATAAAACTTAAATGCATTTTTAAATCGATTTATGGATCTTTAAAAACGATTCAGAATCGCTAGGACTAAGAATCTAGATTTGTCGAAAAATCTAGTTTTTTCTGCACCCCTAGTTATATCTCATTTATACATCATCTGATCTGAACCAGATTTTGGGTGTGTCATCAGTGAGAACTTCAACACTCATCGATATTGTAATTTAACATATAACTCAAGTGTGTCTCCTATATCATTCCAACAGCTATACCTCAGTAATTTATTATCCGATATGTACCATATTTCAGGTGCATGATCAGTGAGCACTTAAACACACAGTGGTATTGGTGTTTAACATTTCACTCCAGTGCACCCCCTAAGTTTTTCTAACAGTTATATCTCAAGGATACATCATCCGATATGCGCCACATTTAATTTGCGTCATAAGTGAGCACTTCTGGACACATTGATATTGCTGTTTACCTTTTCACTCCAGTGCACCCCCTACATTATTCAAACCCAAAATCTCAGTGATACATTGTCACATCTGAACAAGATTTAATGTGTGTGATCACTGAGAACTTGTAGACACATTTGTGTGTTATTTACCATTTGACTCAAGTGTGCCCCCTAGATTATTCCAACAGTTATATCTCAGTGATACATCATCTGATCTAGACCAGATTTTTGGGACTTCCATCAGTGAGCACTTGAAGACACATTGGTATTGTTGATTCATGACTTGACCTAAGCCTGGCCCACTCAGAAGAAAGTGATAATTATTGGGTGTCTCTTCCAGCTTGTAAGATATAAGACTGAAACCGTATTCGCTAACTGTTGATTACCACATAAGACATGTTGAAAAGCCTATAGGAAGTCCTTAACATTCACTGCAAAACAGGAAGTGACAATAACTCATGTCTGAAAGGTCAGATTTTAGCCAAACTTGTAAGGCTTGCAGCTGGACTCATACTGATATGGGCGGAGGGTGATTTCAAAGATTCGACATATGCGCACCCTAGTGGACGCATGCGGGAATGGCATGAGAGCGTTAATGATGGCAATTGGAAGGCGTTGCTGGAGCTCCCGCGTTCACAGGTGATGTCGAAGATTTGGAAAATGCGCAACCTGGTGAACGAGTGCGGGAAGGCACGACAGCGTTTGCGATGGCGACTGGGCGGAGTAGCTGGATCTCCCACGGTCGCCCTAAGGCCAGAGCGGCGCTTTGCTGTGAGGGCCTTCATTGCTGCTTGCAGCTTTAATTTTTTTTACTCTCACAGCATACATTTTTTGACACTTGTTTTGTGTGCTGACCTAAAGTAATCTCTGTAGCAGTTGTTTCAGATGTGTTTTTGCTTTGAAATTTCAGGTGACTTGAATAATGACTTGATCCTGTGTTTCAGCTTACTTCTGGTGGCAGGTGGCACGGTGCTGAAGATCTGTGACTTTGGAACAGCTTGTGACATTCAAACCCACATGACCAACAACAAAGGAAGCGCTGCTTGGATGGCTCCAGAGGTATTTGAAGGCAAGTATCAGCAGCATTCTCAATGTTAAGCCTTTGATTATTGCCATCTATATTTATTAAATTCAGTTACCACAGATGCATTCAGGGTTTTTCCCCTTTAACTTAACTGTCATTTTTCAACTTAATTGTATCTTAAACTTTTAGCATGGACACGTTAGGTGTTGATTCATCATGAGTCTCTACACTCATCAGCATTATTGATGGTGGTCTCCAAACCTCGGTGCGAAGATGAATGCTTTGATATATGTGCACAAGGAGTCTGATGTATTGCTAAATGATGAGACATACACCTGGCAAATGGGTCAGGAGGAAAGATGATTAAGACCTAGTTATTATTCTGTTTTTGGAGGCAAGCTACCAGACTCAAGTGCAATTAGACAGCTTACCATACTCCTGCCCTCTCTGTGAACTCTACACAACTCATTTGCAAGAGTGTGAAAATCCATAATAAAATCCTTGCGTAGCAGCTTAAAATAGGTTTTCTTTGTGGCTTTTTTATTCTGCAACAGAGACTCAGTAATTAAGCTATACAGGAGTTATTCCTCTGTAACAAATTGCTCCCAAACTTTTATAGTACTTCCTTCTAAAAGAAAAGAGAAAATAAAACTTTCAGGGTTTTTTCACAGACACATCCCTCACTTTAATCTTACATGTGCCTCAGAGAAATATGTTCATTAGGTTATTCTGCTCAACCTATCTGAAAAGTAAAAAGGTCCTAATTGTTTGTGTTGGTTATTCTGTACTTACAGGTAGCAATTACAGTGAGAAGTGTGATGTTTTCAGCTGGGGAATCATTCTCTGGGAAGTGATTACTCGTAGAAAGCCATTTGATGAAATTGGAGGACCGGCATTTCGCATTATGTGGGCTGTGCACAATGGTGAGTCACTGTTTGATTGTGAAGGTCTAGTTGTCAGGTCCTTCTCCGAAGGGCCTGAACTGTTGGGTTGAGTGTCTGAGATCCTTGTAGAAATGGGCCGGGAAAACCCATTAACTTAGCGACACTCCATGTAGTTATTACCTATTCAAATATGGAGGAGAACAGCAGTAGAACATTAATATTACCTGGGGAAAATTGTAACATTTCTTCAACATTTCCTGTTGGTCTCATCAAGATAAGACATCCAGAAGGCTCTGGAGTAGTTTGCAGCTAAATGTGAACTCCATCCATCCATTCGTCCGTCTGACATTGTTCTGACATTGTTTCACAAAATTATTTATATAGAATTTTTTTGTTTACCGGACAAAAAGTGATCGGAGCACGATGTCTTTGACGGCAGATCCTTAGCCAGACTCAACGATGTTCTGTGGTGAGCTCCTCCGATGGAGGTCCTTCACATTTCCTTATTTTTGGGATTAAGTGAAAACTGCGCTTTGCCCAAATGTCTCCCCGATTGTAACGTCCTCTAACGCAGCACAAAACAACCATTGCAATTTACTTCAAGAAAGAAAGAAAAAAAAAGCTGGAGAAAATTAACTACCGGTAAACTGCACTGTGTCTGTATCTGATCAGAAAAAGTCTGATAGGAATTTTTTCGTCTCCAATTCCTGCATGTGTCCAGTTTCACTACTTTTTTGTCTGTCTTAACAGATCTCACTTGTAAATGAGTCTTCTAGGCTCATTGTGACTTATTTGTCTAAATAAAGTTGAATGAATGAATGAATGAGTCAAAACCTTATTGCCATCTCGCCTAGGCATTTCCAAACCTCCACTGGTATGTCATCAGGTCCTACTGCTAGGGGTGCAGAAAAAATTGATTTATTAAAGAATCTAGATTCTTAGTCCTGGAGATTCTGAATCAATGCTAAAGGCCCAGAAATCGATTTTACAATGCGTTTGTTTTATTTTTTTCCATTTCTTCTCATGCACATATTACATATCGCTTTACGTGTCCGCTCGGCCACTGAAACATTTGGCCGTGTAGGCCACCGTACAGCAAGCTAGCTAGCCAGCTTCCTTTATCTGAATGGAGTCTGTTAGCATGGAGCAGGGGGACAGCTTGATTCAACCTGCATCTTCGTCTTTATAAGTCATTTCAGATCCTACAATGTTCCGGGGGAAGACAGAGCTTAACAAGTGCATGGTTGTTTGCAAGAAGTGTAAAATAAAATTGCAGTACAGTATTTTGAAATAGGACAAAATGCGCAGAAGATGAAAGCGAAAGCAGCAGAGCAGCGAGCTCTGCAACAAACTTCCAGGCTTCCCCAAAGGCTGCGAAGATTTCCCTCTCCATCTCCTGCTATATCACAAAGGATTTACGATCACACAGCTCAGTCGAAGGTGAGGAGTTTAGGTTTATTTGTAATACGTTGGACCCAACTACGTTATTCCTTCACATAGTTTTTTTTTTTGCGATAAAGCAACGTCACAACTTCACCGTGAAACAAAAATAAAGTGGGAGACGCTCTGATTAAAGTTACCAGCTGCAGCTCAAAGGTAACTGTTATTTCTCATAGTAAACAAAACTTGTATAAACAAGTTAAACAAAAAACTTAATGTAATTTGTTTTTTTAACAGGTTGAAGAGAGGCCAGATGAGACACATCACCTGCAGTCAGTTCTAAATGATACAGTTTATGGTTTATAAATTACAGTTCAGAAGAGTTTTTGTGCAAACTTGCACAGGTTTTGAAATTTTGTTAAAGATTTACCAAATAGGAATCAATATGGTTAAAACTGTGAAGTCTATATATTTCATATTAGGTTAATGTTCATTCCTGATGAAGCCCTCCGAATAGAGTCATATTAGGTTAAGTTTTAAAAATAGAGCAAATGTTAGTGCAATATGGTTAAAACACAGTGAAGTCTGTATTTTATGTTAAGGTAAAGGTTAACGCACTATGGTAGGCTCAAGCCTTTGTTTACTTTTGTATTTATATATTTCGAATTTTTTGTCTGTGATAATAATAATAATAATAATAATGCATTTTATTTGTTAGCGCCTTTCAAGACACTCAAGGACACCACATTAAAAACACAAAATAAAACAATACAAAATAGCTTTAAAAACACTAAACCAAGAAGAAAATAGCAAAAAATTAAAGTGAGAAGGCTAACTTGAAGAGACGAGTTTTGAGTTGTGATTTGAAGGTCTGAAGGGAGTCATCATTTCGGCTGTTTGGGGGAAGAGCGTTCCAGAGTTGGGGAGCAGAGTGAGAAAAGGCTCTGTGTCCCATGATGCTGAGACGGCTGAGAGGCACGTTGAGGTGGATGGAAGAGGAAGAACGAAGGGAGCGTGAATGGGTGATAATGTGCAGGAGATCGGACAGATAGGGAGGGGCGAGGTTATGGATGGCCTTGAATGTGTACAACAGGATTTTAAATTGAATTCTGAAAGCGACTGGAAGCCAGTGAAGTTGCTGTAAAACTGGGGTGATGGGGTTGCAATGGGGTGGGGGGATAACTATGCAGGCAGCTGAATTTTGAACCATTTGAAGCTTACTGAGTAATTTATATGGCAGACCAAATAGGAGAGAGTTGCAGTAATCAATTTGAGAAATGACCAAACTATGGACCAAGATGGAAGCAGAGTGCGGGGAGAGGGATGGACGGAGACGGTTGATGTTTCGAAGGTGGAAGTATGCAGACCGGGTGATATTATTGATGTGAGAGTGAAAAGAGAGAGTGCTGTCAAGAATGACACCAGACTCTTAACATGAGGGGAGGGAGAAACCATGGAGCTGTCAATGGTGAAGGGAAAACTGTTGACTTTAGATTTGGTGGATTTAGTGCCGATGAGTAGAAACTCTGTTTTATCACTGTTTAATATAAGGAAGTTAGATGTAAACCAGGATTTAATTTCAGCTAACCAGCAAGTGAGGGAGGAAGGAGGAGGTGAAGAATTAAGTGCAGTGGATAAGAAGAGCTGGGTGTTGTCAGCAAAACAATGGAAGTGAATGTTAAATTTACGGAAGATATTGCCAAGTGGGAGAAGGTAGATGATGAAAAGTAGGGACCCCAGGACAGCGCCTTGGCGCACACCTGAAGTGACGGGGGAGGAGTGGGATCTGAATGATTTAAGTTGGATGAACCGAATGCGGCCTGAGAGATATGACTGAAACCAAGTGAGGGGTGTATGGGTGATGCCAGTGACTTGAGACCTGTCCAGGGTGTCCCCCGCCCCTCACACAGTGATTGTTGGATATGGGCACCAGTGACACCCATGACCTGTAAAGGAAGAAGTGGATAAAGGGGATGGATGGATGGATGGATGAATTATTTGTTTCTAGATTTCTACTTATTTATTTTTGAAAAATCCAGGCAGCTAAGCTAATGTGGTAATTTAAGTTACAGAATTTTATGCACTCCTGTATTTATTCCTATTTTTGGTATAAATATAATATGATGCAAAAAGATTTGATACAGTAAGGAACCTAAAATTATTGTTTTAAATAAATGTTCTATTTGTTTACATTGTTGTGTAATCTTTTCATCTTGTCAGTTACATAATTGAAACAAAATGTATGACCATTTCAATAGAAAAATTGTTTCTGAATCGAAAATCATTTCTGAATCCCGCCCCCCCAAAAAGATTTTGAATCGAATCACGACACCAAGAATCGAAATCGAATTGAATCGCCAGACACTGAGAGATTTGCTCCCCTACACTGCCTTCCCCTTCTTTATTCTTTTCAGAACTTTCTGAACACCACCCTCACTAATCTTTCCCACTGCCTGGCCCACGGTTTCTATGACCTGTACTCTTTATTCCCTTTCATTCTGAATGGATGGATTGATGTACTTAAATCAAGAGGAAGCAGGAGATTTTGTTACTTTTTTTTTGTGTTAACTTTTCTTATCATTAATATCAAATGATTTGTGTGACTTATAATTTCATTTTTTATTTTCTTTCAGGAACAAGACCTCCACTGATCAACAATTTGCCCAAACCCATTGAGAGCCTGATGACTCGCTGCTGGTCTAAAGACCCCTCTCAGAGGCCTTCTATGGAGGAGATATTAAAGATAATGTCTCATCTAATGAAGGTAGTATTCTGTCAATCCACATTTCTTACACATTCTTAAAGTTGTTTTTTTATTAAACTATATGTTGTAATCTACTTATCAGACTGGTGTAGAGCTAAATAGAATTCCAAGGTTTTGGGATTTTTTTTGTCCTTGCATAACCATCAGCAGGAATTAACTCACTGAATTTCCCAAAATTCAACTATGAAACATTCATCCTATGTCTAAATTGTAAGTAAGTCAAGATTAGGGCTGGGCCATATATTATTTTATTTTATTTGTTTATTCATTCATTCGGTGAAAAGAAACAAAATAAAACATTCATCAAAAAGAAAAAAAACATTGAATGAAAAGGGTGCAGAAAGAAGAAAAAAATTCTTATATCTGCCCCTTATTTAAAAAAATTATAAAATAACTACAAAAAACAACCTACGCTAAAACAATCTCCAAATCGAAAACAAAAAACATCAGGCATCCATCACCTGGTATCATACCTTCCCAACAACTTCCTGTTTAAACATATAAATTGTTTTAGAAATTTTGATGGTGATATCAAGGCAATTCCACAATCCTATTCCCTGAATTACAACACAGCTCCTTCAGACTAGTTCTAGATAGAGGTTTTACAAACATTTCCATTCCCTTAAGGTTATAATGACTCTTTAGCAAATTTTAATTGAATATTTGGGGGTAATATTTTTATGAGCTTCATACACGACTTGTAAAATACTATATTCAACCAAATCATCACATTTTAATAATTTCAACTGATGAAATATTTTTTGGGTGACCATAGCACTTCCTACTAATAATTATTATAGCTCTTTTTTGTAAAATGAAAATAAGGTTTGTAATTGTTTTGCATGCTTTTCCCCAAACTTCACTACAATAAATTAAATATGGAACAATCATTACATTATACAATATATATGCACACCTTTGTCATTCAAAAACTATTTTACTTTATACAGTAATGCAATTGATTTTGCTATTTTTATTCTTAAGTAAATTACGAGATTTACATGTCTCATTTTTCATGTTCGCATTAATAGCGACACCCAAAAATTTTATTTCATTAACTCTATAAATTTCAATACTGTCAATTTTAAATGGGACTTCGATAAATTTCTTTATATTACTAAATATCATGTAGTTTGTTTTTTACAAATTTAATGATAACTTATTAAGTTGGAACCAAGTTTGTATTTTTACGAATTCTGCCTGTATCATCTCTAACATCCGTTCAATATCTTCACCTGAACAAAAAAATGTGGTATCATCTGCAAATAAAACACACTTCAAAAGCCCTGACACATCAACCAGATCATTCACATACAAAATAAATAACTTTTGTCCCAACACAGAGCCCTGAGGAACTCCACATCCATTAACACAAAATTCAGATCTTACATTGTTTACTTATACAAACTGTCTCCTATTATTTAAATAACTGGATAGCTTCAACTTGACCGGGGGGACGGACAGAGACATGTCCTATCATGCGCAGCGCGCTGTTTAAACCAACAGTTTTACAGTTTTAGAGCAGGGTGTGGGAGAGGAGAGACAGAGTCGCGTCTCAGCTGCGCACTGTCTGAACCAACAGTTGTGTGTGTGTGTGTGTGTATGGGGGTGGGGGTGAGAGACAGACACACATCTGAGCCGTGCGCTGTTTGTACCAACAGTTTGAGTGGCGGGGGTGCTTTCAGCATGAGGGTTCAGCATGAGGGAAGAGGCTGACTTTAGCTATTTAGCTAGCACACCTGCATTGTGAGCCACTAGTTTACCATACCATACCATTTTATTTATAGAGCACTTAAAACAACGACAAGGCCAACCAAAGTGCTGTACAGACAGAACAACAGGCAACACACAAAGCAAAATACAAAATGAAGTAAATCAGAAATATAGACATAAAAACGATGCAGATAATGACGACTAACCAGTGTGAAGGATACAGGTTCAAAACACAGATCATCTGGTGTTGAAATCTACCGAATAGTAGTGAGTTTTTAAACGGGACTTGAAAACCGAGAGGGAGGGGGCCTGTCTGACAAGCAGAGGTAACTCGTTCCAGAGTCTTGGTCCTGCTACTGAGAAGGCCCTATCACCTCTGCGCTTAAGACGAGTTCCTGGAACTGTGAGGAGCAACTGGTCCGCTGACCTCAGGGAACGTGGTGGGACATACAGTTATAGCAGATCTGAGAGATGGGGGGGGGTGGGGGGACTGTTCAGTGATTTGTAGACATACAGGAGTATTTTGAACTGGATTCGAAAGTGAACCGGTAACCAGTGCAGTGAGGCCAAAACTTGTATAATGTGCTCTCTTTTGCCTGTACTGGTTAAAAATCGGGCTGCTGCATTCTGGGCCAGTTGTAGTCGTGCAATGTAGGTCTGACTATTACCAAACAGGAGCGAATTGCAGTAATCAATCCTAGATGTAATGAATGCATGTATTACTGTCTCCAGGTTATTTCTGGACAATATGGGCTTCAGTTTAGACAGCCGCCTCAGTTGGAAGGAACATGATTTTACAATCATGTTTACGTGACTGTTAAGTTTCAGGGAAGGGTCCATTATCACTCTCAGATTAGTGACTCTTTGTTTTTCTGCCAGGGTTAGAGCGGAGAAGTCGATGCAGTGGTTTGTGATCGTGTCGTTGGGAGGGAACAACATGACTTCAGACTTCTTTTCATTGAAACTCAAGAAATTTAAAGCCATCCAGTCCCTGATGTCAGCCAGGCAGTCGAACAGAGGTTGAATAGAGCATGTACCATTGTGTCTTAGGGGGAAGTAGATTTGACAGTCATCGGTGTAGAAGTGGAAGGGCATGTTGTGTTTCCGGAAAATAGCACCAAGCGGCAGCAGGTTTAAAGAGAATAGGAGGGGACCCAGGATGGACCCCTGCGGTACCCCCCCACCACCACCACCACCACCACCATTTAAGCTCTGTCGCTGCAGAACTAAAATCCTTGATGGAGACACAAAAGGATCAGTCAGTGAGGTAAGATCTGAACCAATTGAGGGCTGACCCTGTGATGCCCACCCACTGCTCTAACCTAGCAATGAGGATCTCATGGTCAATGGTGTCAAAGGCGGCTGTGAGGTCCAACAGGACAAGCAGCACAGAATCACCGGTATCAGTGGTTAAGAAAATGTCATTGAAGACCTTCAGCAGGGCAGTTTCAGTGCTATGGAGAGGTTTAAAGCCAGATTGGAATAACTCTAGGATAGCGTGACCCTCTAGGAAACACTTCAACTGGGACTCAACTATTTTCTCCAGTAGTTTCAAACAAATAGGAGTCTGGAGACAGGCCGGAAGTTGGATACGACAGAGTGGTCAAAGTTTGTTTTTTTCAGGAGAGGCTGAACAGCAGCATGTTTAAAGGTTTTTGGCACCACACCAGTGGATAAACTACTGTTTACTATAGCCAGAATGGACGGACCTAGAGTAGGAAATACCTCCTTTAGTAATCAAGGGGGTACCACATCAAAGGGGGAACCATACGGTTTCAAGCTGCACATGACTTGCTCTAGAGAAGATGGAGTGATGGGTTCAAAATGATCAAATGGAGCTACAGATTGAGGTGGAATGGATGGGTCATGAGTTTAAGGGGAAATGAGAACCCGGGTGGTCGCAATTTTTTCCAAAAAGAAATGTAGGAAGTTGTTGTACAGCTCAGTTGAGGCTTCCAGAGGTGATGGTTCAGTGAGGTGGAGAACAGAGTTTAGGGTGGAGAAGATGACACGGGTTGCGAGAGTTTGAGGTAATTATATCAGAGAAGTATTTTGATTTAGCAGCTTTCACTGCTTTCTGATAACAGCGCCAACTCTCTTTAAGTATTTGAAAAAAGACCTTTAGCCTGTCTTTCCTCCACTTGTGCTCCGCCTTTCTGCATTGCTGCCTAACGGCCTTGGTGATGTCACTTAGCCATGGTTCTGCTCTGAGTTTTGATTTTTTGGCTTTAACAGGTGCAACATGATCCAGAGTCTTTAAGCAGACAGAGTTGAACTGGGATGTCAGCTCCTCAGTGGTGGTGAGAAACACCAGGGGCTGAATGATCATTTCAGAGTTATAAACATCAGTGAAACGTGCGGCAGTGAAGTGGTTAATGGCCCGGCTACTACGTGCAGGAACGCACGGCTTAGGAGTTAGATGGGGGAGGGTGAACTCAAACCGGATTGGCATGTGGGCTGAAAAAACATTATCACCAATTTCAAGATTACTAACAATCAAATCATGAGTTAAAACAAGGTCCAGTGTATGTCCGCGCTCTTGGGTGATACCGTTTACACGATGAGTTAAATTAAATGAGTCCAATAGATCTAAAAAGTCCTTAACCAAGGGCTTCTCCTGACAGCATGCATGCAAATTGAGGTCCCCAATAATGAAAACAAGCTCATATTTTCATGTGATTTCAGCCAAGAAGTCAGAAAACTCATTTATGAAATCCTTAGATCGAGGTGGGCGGTAGATGAGTGCAAATAACGTCGGAGGCGAATGGCTGAGTTCAAAGACGCTCAGCTCAAAGCTGGCATGGGAAACTGGGATGGGCAGTTGTTTACAGTCAAAAGCTGGTTTGAATATTGTTAATAATCCACCACCGCGCCGGCCTGATGGCCACGGGGGGTTAAAATACAGACAGTTTGGTGGCAATAATTCCATCAAGGCGCTGGACTCACCTGGAGACATCCAAGTCTCTGTGATGCAGAAAAAGTTCAACTCGTACACTTGAAAGTAGTCCCTGAGGATAAAAGTTTTGTTGGTAACAGATCTTGCGTTGATCAAACACATCCAGATACTGTCCAAAGTGGAGCCAGCAGTGAAGTTTGCACGCATCAGTGGCCGCGGGTTAGCTGAGTGGACCAGAACCGAGTCGACGATGTTGGACTTTACTTCGAGATAATCAATAGCTGATTTACTGCAGGTAAATCAACGTTCTTAATAATGTTTGCTTGTATTTACTTCAGTTACAAAACAACCAAATGCGTTTTTATTTTTATTTTTCCTAAAAGAAGAAGAA